AGGAGTGGAGTATTGCTGCAATGATTAGTGCAGCCACCTCTTTCGGTGCTTCATGACTATTTTTGTGGCCTGTCGGATTGAAGAAAGTTGAAGGAGATAGGAACTCAGACATGGGGCTTTTAGATCCGAGTCATTCTCCCAATTCACGGCTCGGAAGAAGAGATTAGATAATCTGTTTAGTAGTTGCTTTTCATCCTTTTTTCTTGTTTTTTTTTGGGAGTACTTTAGAGGAGGGACACTGGACCCGGTTTCCAGAAGCCCACAGCTGGGTAATGGCCCGAGCACGTCTGATGTACCGGGTTGCATTGTCGAGGTGTATTCCCGGGCCTCTGTTTGTCTCTCATTTGGAATGAATTTGGAGTTACTCCAAAAAATAAATAAAAAAAATAAATAAAGGGCAAGACTGAACCTACATCAGCAGATAACTAAAACTATGAAAAGCGAGACTGAGCCTTCAGCAACAAATGACTAAGAAGTACTGTACATTTTCAGAGAACAAAAAAGGGGGAAAATTTGAGCTGTGGATGGGCTCCCTGCACGTTTTCGACACCGCCATCTTCGGCGATTTTTCATTTTTTTTGGTCATAAGACTCATATCTAAATGCCCTGAAAATTTACAGATTTGTACTTGACATAATGCAAAACACACTAAAAAGGTTCAAAAAATAATAAAATTGTTTAGATCCTGAACTAAAGTGAAATTAAAAAGTGAAAAGTGAAAAAAAACGTGGGCGAGCACGTTTTGACACCGCCATCTTTGGCGATTGTTAATTCTTATTTGGCTGAGCAATATGACTTGACACTTTACAGGCATGTACCCCACGTCATAGAGAACTCACAAAAAAAAAATTCGGAAAAAAAGAATTATTTTTAGGCCCCGAAATAAATTTTGGCGGGGGCTGAACGCCGTCTGGTTCGGACCCCGTACGGGACCCCGAACGCCCGTACGTACGGAGGTCTTCCCGGGGACCTCCGTACGTACAGGCTGGTGGCCCTGCCCGGGACAGATTTTTTTTTTTGAAGGGGGGGAGGGGTAGCCCCCAACATCCGACCCCCACCCGGCCCATCCACCCCCTCAACACCCCTTTGGAAGGTCGTGTACGGAGGGCCCAAAGTCCGTACGTACGGGCCGTACGGGAGCTGAGGGCCTGTAGATACACTCGTACGGACAGACGGACGGGCCGTCCCCGTACAGGGTGACGACACTGATCTGGACTGAAAAGTGCTCCAAATACGGCTATTATAATGACCGGCCGTTCTATTCTGGTGAAGACGGTAGTAGCTACTAACCGGCTAGTACCTGTGGAAAAAAAAAAAAAAAGTGAAAAAAAAAAAAAAAAAAAAAAAAAAAAGGGACTCCCCAGTGTCCCATCCTGCACGATTAACAAAGTAGCGTGGTGGAAAATAACAGTAAAAGAACAAAGTTCCCGAGGCAGTGTGGGCATATTTCGGACCCCGAGAAACAGAACAAGTCTGAACGACGACTCCGTCCTGTCGAAATGGC